ATAGAGAGGTCAAAATTCTACGCGAAGACCGTGCGACGCGGAGCGGAGAAAATGTTAACAATGCAAGAGAAGAATGTTATTCCGCGATAATGTTTTGAAGTTCGCCGTCGCACTTGATAAAACTTGAAACGAATCTCTCTCGACCCCCCCCCCCTTCGGCCCCGTTGAATGGGCACTTATTCCTTTTTGCTCCTTTTTGCCGGGCTTCATTCATTCGCGACGTCGTCTTTTGATGAACGCCGCCAGGCGAAACGGTCCCTTATCGCGAGTACCCGTACTTCAGAGGCGTTCGGAAAATCCTCCGAGTCAACTCGCGGGAAAAGATCACTCTTCAATGTGCTCCAAAGAAATTATTATCTCACGACGCAAAATTCGCGGCGCCGACGAACAATGGAGGAGTGGAAAAAAAATTAGAAAAGAAAAGGGACTTGGCACCCCCGCGACGATGACAGTTGCGGATGAAGGGCCGACAAAGTTCTCTCTAAATTTAATCACGAGCTAGCAGCGTTCGTGTCGGTCGAACTGATCCGAAACTCGCGAAATCTGCTCCTCGCCTGGGGAGGCGAGAGGCCCTCCCCTTCGTGGGCTCGATATTACGCGAGAAACAGATTTGCCCAGTTTCGGCCCGAGTCCCGGGTGCCGTGTGCCTGTGTTTGGTGTCTGATGTTCTTTACCTTACGAGCCTTTTTCTGATACTCTTCGGCTACGATCAGCTCGCCCCGGGCCTGGCCCACGTGGTCGCTGGTCCGATTGACGCAGTACTCAATGCTGTCCACCATCTCACCCTGCCGTACCGCACGTGGGACGTAGGGCAGGACTCAGAATCGGGACGGATGCGGGGGAGGACGAGGAGGACGAGGAAGAGGATGATGGGACCAGGTTCGCTCGTCGAGGGGAACAACCTCGGGGACGGGTGCACCCAAGGGTTACATTTATTACACATAATCGGCGAGTATGGAGAGAGAGAGAGAGAGAAAAGCAGCATCCCCGCGGCAGGAGGGAGAATGCCAGATCCCCAGAGCGTCGTACGCGCGTGTACATATGCGCAGGCACGTACACACGCCGTCGTGTTTTCACATTGACACACAGTCACACACGTATCCGTATTAGTATCGACAGCATAGAGATTAATACGCAAGGTATTAGTAGTATGAGTAATAGTAGTAAACAGAGCAGTTGATGGACAGAGGCACACAATTAGCACACCCATGTTTCGACAGAGTACAGAGAGCAATGTACATATATATGTATAGGGGTAGAAAAAGAGAGATAGAGAGAGAGAGAGAGAGTATAACACGCATACATACAACAGTATATATGTATATAGTATAATATAGATATATACATTTATAATATCATTTACGATCGAGCGCGCGAGTTGACACGAATACCAACGACCGACAGAGTAAAGACATAAACGCAAACCAACGGAAAGAAATCCACAAAGCGCCGTCGTTAGTTGCTTACGCGTCGGGGAGGGGCGGGTAAGCGTAGGGATGTACACCGATTAATACATTGTAGCGAGTTACGTATCAACAGAAGCGTATAATAATTAAATAGCGGATAACGTAGGTAAGAGATTTGGTAGTGGGAGGGAGGGGGGAGCGAGGTGAAAATCAAAAGGGGTTTCAAGGGACACCGACGACAAAGGGGAGGAGGGAGATCAAGGTTGGGGACGCAGGAACGATAGGGAGAAAAAGAAACAAGAGTGACCAATTAGACGCGAACGAAATGGCTTCGGCGCATGATATCTGGGGAGGACTCACCCGTCGGGCTTTGCTTTGATACTTGAGTGCTTTTTTGGTGTCCTGCGTGGCCGTCTGCACGTAGTCCACCGCGTGTTCCACGTGGTACTCTATGCGATCTATCATCTCGCCCTAATGTGGGTAGGAGGCGCGGCGCGAATCCACACAGCGTAACACAGGGGAAGAGAGAGTGTTAGTCCTCAAGAGTAAAGGCAAAGGCCAGTGATTATACTGTGTCCGCCGACTTATTTCTTGTCTGATTGTCATGCACTAGCTCGCATCACCGGCATTTGAGAAAAGTAATTACCGCGAATCGACGGCGTTTGCAGAATAATTGCGCCTGATTCATACAAAAAAAAAAGATTACTGGTAAAGTTCAATTAATGGACGACCGTACTCGCGCCATCGAACGTTGAATAACGATTTTATATATTTTTTATAATGTAGACTTGACATACTTGTAGACATATAACATTTCGTTTGGTCAACACTTTGTACTTTGATACTAGACTAGACCACTGTTTCTATGTGGCAAACCGTGTTGCTGTGAAACAGCGGATTATAATATTAAAAAAATTTTTCTTTGTAAATTGTTTTTATTGTAAATTTTAAATCAATTTCTAATATTATTTGTTAAAAATTTTTGATAACGATTTATCCTTTTCGTTCTTCAAACCATTGCTGCGAACAAGTTAGGTCGAAACGTACAATTGTGCATAATTTTATGAATTTCAACTAACATCTTCCAATAGCTCGTGAAATGGTCGCTAAATCATTCATATAGTTACAAGTAACGATTAAAATTTCTTGAAATGATAGTTTCAGCATTGTGATTTGTAATAATCTGAATTGACAATATCAGAAAGCCGGTTTTTCTTTATACTACAAATAATGATGACTACAGTTAATGATGATTGTAAATTATCGGCGTAAGCTACTGCGGTAATTACTTTGTCTCATTGTATGAAAAACAAGTTCTTATTGAACTTGGACAAATTGTACCATAACAAATAAAGCTTAATAATATTATTATTGTTACTACTATTGTTAATTAAGGATAAATATCTAAAAACCACCCACGTCCTTTTTACGTATTCTTCGGTGAACATGTAAATCACTTCGAAATAAACATTAAATGGAGTTTTACCGATAAGAAGGTATAAAATATTCAAAGTCATATGTAGCGCATGTTTTCCTGTTATTTTTTAACATACATTTACATAATTAAATATTAATGCAGAATGCAATTAAAAATTACGTATTAATAATATTACAATTCCGAAAATAGGTTGTCCCTAATTGGCTGAAACTTTGTGTGAAACTTTATTTTGTGTTGAAATGAAAGCCTTAAAGAGACTTTTGACAACTTTTATGAAAAAGATTCATTTCTTAATATAAGATAATTCAACATGGGTTTCCAACTTTCCACGTGAAGCGAGGTCTATCGAATGACTTCAGAGAGTGACCTTTTTTTCTTTAATATACTTCCGGGTCATAGAAGATGGTGAAATCATATTAAATCATTTATTGAAAGCATTTTAAGTGTTTTCAGTATACATATAAAACGTTTTAAATGGACGAAACTCTCTTTTTTAATATCATAAAAAATATAAATTATTTTTATATTTATCTTTATCTATAAACTTAAATTATAAATTCTTTTATATACGTATATTAAATATTGCCAATTAGTTTAGAATTTTGGATAAAGGAGATTTTTAGATTTGTTATACAGGGTGCTACG